AGAGCAAGAGAGAGAGAGAGAGAGAGAGAGAGAGAGAGAGAGAGAGAGAGAGAGACTATGTGAGTAAAAAAGTTCATTTGGGACTTGCCTCAGATCATTGGGACTTACCAACGAGCGTCAGATTGTGGCGAAAGTTGCGCGTGGGCGAGTTGAAGAAGTCGATGCGGCAGCGATAGACGCCGCCATCCTCGGGCTTAACGTCCTTAATCTGCAGCCGCGAATCCTTGGGATTATCGCCAATGCTGAAGAAGAGACGCTGGCCCAGATCGCTAGCTATGGCCGCATGTGGCGCCAGCTTGACGTTGCCGCCGCGCGAGTCCAGACTGCAAAGCGAATGGTTAAGTGTGAATTTAGTGTGTGGGCGTGGCTGGCAGCAGGCAGCAGGCACCGCTGCTTATTATACATCATAAATAAACATATGCAAGCATCTCTTGGCCATTCGTTTGCTCTGGCGCCCAGGTTGTCCTACTGCTACCATAATTTACGGCCATAAAAAATGACGCTCAATTTGCACACGAGTGTGTGTGTGTGTGTGTATGTGTGTGTTTCGTTACTGTTGCTGCGTGCCACGCTGCGACTTTGGCAGCTTTGCGCAAATTGCAGCAATTTGTTGCTGTTTTAGCAAATTACTCTGTTTATTTCATGTACAACGCCCGGCACTCTTATGGCTGAATTGTTGCCCGGCTGTAGCTACAGCCAAAGCGAGAGCCAGAGCTGCAGTTCTTTATGATTATCGACTGACGGTGGCCAGTTGTGCACCTACATACATGCCGGATAGTTGCCGCTGGGGCACGCAAGTCTCGCGGCAGCGGCACTTGAAATGCGCGAACCACATTGAAAATTTATCAACTGAAATTTATAAAAGCTGGCAGCGGAAGGGCGACTGGGCGGACGGGCGGATGGTAGATGGGGGGGAGGGCGTGTCTGATGCGTATGTGCGTGAAAATTTGCTACACTTTAGCGATGGCAACTGTAATCGGATGTGCTTTACATTTATTATAACAAAGTGGATTATGACGGCGTGGACGGGCGCATCCTTGTCACACACACACACACGTGCGCGAGTACACAAAACATTTCTTCCGGTATCCTGCGCCAAAATACCGTCACATAACAACAAAAACACACACCGTAGCCGGAGCTCAGGCAAAACGCACAGAAAAAAGGACTCAATGGAAGCCAAAAAAAGAAAAAAAAAACAGAAAAAGGATGTGAAAAATGCGCCAAGTGTGATGGCAGCAAAGGATGTTGACGATTACTTCACGTTTTTGATGGATGGCTGTCGCCTGCAGGATGTGCTCCTGTGAACGTGTGTCAATGTGTGCGTGTGTGTGTGTCTGTGTGTGCAGCACTTGGGCAACATTTCCGCTAGTCGGCAACATCTACTCAGCGCCGGCTCAGTCAGGATTTTTTTTTTTTTGTAGCGCTCTGTCAACTAAATAGTTTGACCAGGCTTTGAAATTGATTTGCCATGTTCGAGCACTTGCAGCAGCACTCACCTGTATAACGGTATGCCAGTGGTATCCTTGAACCAAAGCAGCAGCTTCACCGAGTCCTGCGGCGTGGGGGGCGTCAGGTCGCACGGCAGCTCCACGGTCTTGCCGGCAGCGGCCCAAACCAGGCGTGCGGGTACTGCAATGGAAGAAAAGCCAAAGAAAAAGTTGATTTCTACTTTCGTATTTATTTATTTTCATTTTTTTTTTTCGTTTTTTCGTTTTTATATTTTCATTCAGCAAAGCATTTAAAGGTGGCCCAGGAGGCGGCAGCCAATTGAAGCTGTCAGGTAGGAAGCTGTGCGCTGGCGTTGGCGCTGATAAAAATATATTTATTTCTTATTTGCACATCCTGCATGATTCGCTTGATTGTTTGTTATTTTAACACAATGCTTCCGCTTTAGTTTGGCGCGGAGCGCAAAACGAGATACTCAAAGCCAGCCAGCAGGCGGTGCGCTGTGGGCCACGCCTAGCTACTCGTGCGCCCACTACCATGGCCACGCCCACGCCTCTGTTGCGCCCATTGTCTGTTCGACGCTTCCGTTTGCCGGCTGTCGTTGTTGTTGTTGGCGCGAGTTTGTTTCTCTTTTGAAAAAAGCCCAAAATAATAAATAATATAAAGCAAATAAAAGAATAAAAATAACAGACATGAAAAGAGAAAATATTTCTCTTTCATGCTACGCTGCTTCACCTCGAATTTCGATCTCGCGTTCCCTGTTATTTCAACCGACAGGGCAACCTCCACATTGTTTTCCCTAGCATGGCTTCTGTATTTCATAAATATTTCGCTCGATGTGGGACCCCAGCACCTTTGCCTTTGCGTCTTGATTAACAGCAGTCCTCAATTAAAGCAGCGTTTGGGAATTTTTAAGCAAATTATTTGGGCCTCAACAATCAATAAACTCTTTATTTCCTTAGCTCAGCTCACATCACAGTTGAGTTGCTCCAATTTAAGTGCTTAGAGCAGCAGCAAGGCAAACAACAAACGGGGGGGAAAAAGAACTGAAAAAAGTGAAGCAATTTTTTTCCGCTTCCATTTTTTTCCTCCTGTTGTCGTGGCACTTTGATGTTCAAATGTTTTTCGACAACTTTTTGGCGAAAGTGGAGTGCAAATTTTTATCGTAGCTCCCCGCACACCTGGCGGCGCCACTGCACTGGAGAGGATTAGCAGAGCACATGCCGCAGCAACGTGCATAAATTTATGCAGTCTTGTTGAGCGAACGTATTAGGAAATTATTGAAGTAAGTCCACACACACACACACACACATAGAGCCGTGCCGGTCATGCTGGCCAAAGCGAACCGCAGCTCAGCGAGCACCACAAGCCATTTGTTATATTGTGCTGCATACTTTCCGGCGCACATTCGCTGACAGCTTGAGCAAAATGGCAAACATGGCGGCAGCGCAGCTTCCGCTGCGGCATCGGCAATTTGTCAACGCTTTGGCTTGTGGCAAGCTCCGCAAATGTGCGCTGGCAAGCGGCACAAGGCAACACCTAGTCGTAAATCTATATAAATGGCTTAAGGCCAGCCAAAGCGCGCTCAGCAGGAGCTGGAGGAGGGTTGGGCGGCAGTTAGATTATATTTGCTTAGCCATTGCGGTTTTGCCTGTTGCAACATCTAATTAGACGCTTTGTGTTGCAATTGCAACAGCAATAGCTTTGAAGTTGCCCAGCGGCAGCAGCAGCAGCAGCAACTCTATGCTGCCCCCTCGGTAAATCTATTTTTAGCTGCCCCACGGCAGCATTTGCCCAGTTGCTGGCGGCAATCGTCTGTCCGTTTTTAATGATTTATGCATTCATTCAATTCTTTTATTGGCAGCCCAGGGGACGACGACTTTGATGTCTGTGCCCAAAGAAGAGAAAAGGCACAAGCAATAGTTTCCTCTCGAGTCTTGAGCTCTACCTGCCCGCCCCCACCAGTCTCGGTGGCCTCAGTTCCCATAGCAGCTCTCGCTTCCGTTTGATGTTCTGTTTTGACACATACCATTATTTGCGGCTATTTTGGGCCTCATGTAAATTACTTAGCACATACGAGACCCGCCGATCACAGAGAGAGCGAGAGCGAGAGAGAGAGAGAGAGAGCTCTAGGGAGGGTGTGCATCAACTCAATTGAAATTTTTACGGCTTGTCAAAGTTATTTGGGCGGCTCATTATTCAGGCATCGGCGCATTTGACGGGCTCTCAACATGGATCAATTAATATCCATCGAATGTGCTGAGTGCGTTTTCCAGTTCAAATTAAGACACTATCACAGGAAATGTTAAACGAAGTCGAGAGA